AGTGTAGTACACCAACAGAATATTCAAAAGCATCATATATACAACAGCATGCACTTCCTTGCTAAATCAGTTCTTCAAGGTGCCTCCAGGACCACCCAATTTAACTTTATGACCATCTTGCATATGATGTAAAGGAATTACAACAATTGGAATTTGGAAACAAACCAAGCCCTTATGTTTAAGATTAAATTAAAGTACAACCTGAATATGAAAAGTAATTTCTGAACCACGAAAGGTTTGAGAAAATTTAGTTACTTACTTAGAAACCAAGGCCAACTTCAAGCACAATATTTTGTAGAAAACGAAATTTATTTCTACCATTCATTCATCCTTTTTTCTGCTTTTATTGGAGGTGTAAGCACCAAGGTAGGTGATGGGGATGAGGGGTGAGTAGATGGCCTTGTAAAGAATTGAACCTACAATATTATAATTTATAATCACTTGCTAATCCTGAAAGTCTTGGTCTTAATCTATGTTCCTCAAGTGCAAGGAGATTCAACCTCCTGTTAATTCTACTAGAAAAAGTCATAACAAAAACTGTGTAATCAATTTAAGGCAATGTCAATAGATTAGGCAGCAGGGGAAAAAAGTGCCAGTGTAAATACAATAAAATAGTAGATACTTACAAGACCACCCCTGAAATGGGATTCAATGACAGAGCATGATCAACATAAAATAAAATAAAATAAGTGTCTCCATAAACTAAAAGGAAAATTACACTAACCTCCTCCCTCGAAGCAACTTATACATAGCAACAGAGCATGATCAACATGAACCTAGCAACTTACCTTCCGAAACCAAAATTTCCAAACATTCCAAACATAACTATTTTGTATTTAAAAGATTAACACAAAAAGCACAATCAAATCAAAACAATCATTCTGTAATAGAGAGATGGAGATAGAGAAAGAGTTTGAAATGGAAAAAAAAAATGAATCGTGCAAAACAAACCCTAAAATTGAAATTGAAGACAAAATCACAAGAGATATTACCACATGAAGATCCAAAAGGAGAATGAGTTGACGCAGCCATTGAAGCTATGCGCAAAAGATAGAAGAAGCCATTAGTGAGAGTGAGAAGCGAGAGTGAGAGTGAGAGTGAGAGTGAGATGACGGTGAGAAGTGAGGTAAAGTGTGAGGAATTTTTTAAAACAGAAGTTCAAATAAAAATTAATATTAACATAGTTTTAAAAAATTGTCACTATGAATAAAGTTTTACCGGCTAATTTTTATTGGCCACTAAAAGTTTTAACTAATAATAATATGCAGACAATTATCTTATTGTCACTAAATAATAGTCGCTAATGATATTTTTTGTTGTAGTGATTTTCACTATTGTAGGCATTTAGTAAATCACGCCCACACATATTACCACCTCTATCTTTTTCTCTCTTCTTCACAGATAGAACTTGGAGACACATCACTTCTCATTTCTAAACAACTCACTAACCAAAATGTTAACACTAAAACATCAAGAATCCAAGATACATGTTCAAGCAATGGAAATTAACAGATGTACTCGATATTCTGCATGAAGTTTCCTTAGATAACTAGGACTTTCGGATTTAATGGTTAATAAAAATTCAAGAGAGAAATTTCCAAAACAATAAATTTGGTCTGATAATTAAGTGCCTGCATTTGTAATGAAAATTCTCTCCTTGAGAATCTTTTAATCATAGTGTAAAGATAATCATGATAATAATTAGAAAATTAGCAATTCAAAACAGAAAAGGAATTTTACAACTCACGTGTTTGGCCATCCCAAAGTCAGCAAGCTTAACAACACCAGCTGAATCAACAAGTAAGTTAGCCCCCTTGATGTCCCTATATACATACCACAAAAGAAAAATAATTAGTAATAATTTCTGGAATTTTTTTTTGCTATTTCTTTTATAATATTTACAGAAAAAACAGTTAAAGATTTCTTATATTAGTTGGACACGGAACTCATGCAATGCAACACATCAAGCACGTACGTGACCAGTACCTATGAATTGTTTTCTTGCTATGCAAGTAAGCCAACCCCGAAAGAATATGGCGCGTGAAACTCCTCACAACACATTCTGTTATTGCACCACAATGTTCACGAACGTATTTATTCATTGACCCGGGATGGATATATTCCAAATAAATATAAAACCTGTCCTCTACCTATTCAAAACATAATCCAACGACATTAGAAGGTTCTGTGGGGGCAGTTCTATAAATAAAGATTCATCGTGCACACCTAATCATGAATAGGAATCCTTACTATTTCGCTACCATAATACTGCACAATGTTTGGATGTTTCAGATGGCTAAGAACTTTAATTTCCTGAAAAACGTAGGAGAAAATAATTTTGGATAAATGAAACATTTCAGATAGTTAACGTGAGATAATATCTTAATCACAAAATACATGACAGATAGTATATATATACAACATATATAATGAATGAATAGTGTATGTTAAGTAATGAGATGAATAACCTGCTCTAACTGCTTTATGCACTCTGCAGATTTTGGATCATCAGAAAATATTTCTGCTTCCTTCATTGCACACAATGCTCCGGTTTTTCTGTGAGAAACGAAAATGTGTTTGAGATAAGGGAAGAGGTTAAAGTAATTGTTTATGAAACATGTTGTATAGAGATGAATTATTAAAAATAATACTTGACTAGCAAAACTATATTAATCTTTAGTTATGAGATATGGAACATTACCGACAGAAAAAAAAAAAACCTAATATTTGTATATTACATACCTATTGGTGGCAACATAAACTGATCCAAAAGTACCACGGCCAATGAGTTTGCCTTTTTGCCATTGGTTTATCATTGGGTGGCATTCTGTCTTAGCGAGGGGTGGGGAAAAGGTGGGAGGTGGTGAAGGTAAGGGAGCCCAAGGAGGCAAGGGTAAGGGGTGGACAGTGAGAGTTTCACGTCGTGCTATTGAGGTGTCAAGGGATAACCTGGGGGGTATGGAGGAACAAGAAGGGGAAGGGGCAGTTGGGCTTTTTCCCCGTGGGCTATGATGGGGAGAAGGAGGGTTATCCGAAGTGCGTAGTGCGGATATGTCAAAGAAAGCAGGGGGTGGTGAAGGGTCGTTTATGGGCATCTCTGGTGCGGACCAGAACTGGTTGGCTTTGGGTGAAACGTAATAGTAGGGTATGAAATCGTCAGTTTTTGCATTCTTTGGGCTTATTATGGGACTCCCAAAAGGACTCGTTGGAGCACTTCTTGTAGGGATGCTTGTCCACAAGGTACTATCTCCTTGACATTGACCTTGACCTTGACCTTGACCCTGACCCGTCATCAACCCTGTCCCTGTTGACCTTGTTTCCACCTGCGCCATGTTTTTTCTTGTCTCTTGGCTCGCAAAAACACTGTCCACACAATTCCACAACGTCACAACACAAATCATGCAATCCCATGGGATGATAAATATATATGACACATAAAATTATTATAAATAATAAAGTGGTATGACATGAGAAGCTAACAAACTAGGTCAAACCAGAAAAATATGACTCCTTAGAGAGCTATGCAATAAAAATAATTGCATGCATGCATGCATAATTAGATTGAAGAGAAGCACAAAATGGTTAAAAAGTGAACCTGTAAAATAGTTTTAATAATTAGGGTAGAACATGCATAATGAAAGGGAATAACCTGCGCATTTTGAAACCGGCGGTGAGGGAAACGTCGACGGCGGCGGGCGTGTCGGCGGCATCTTTGGGGAAGCGGTCTCTGGGCAAGGGCAAGGGCTGAGGCACGAGGGAGGAGCGATCAACGGTGCTGGAGGAGCGAGACAAGGCCAAGGGGGGCCCTACGACGGCCTCTAAGTCGGTGACGTGGCGGAGCTTCCTGGAGCGCGTAGACTTCTTGGCGCTGCCGAAGAACCAGATGGAACGCGTGCTCTTCCTTGGCTCCGGGAGAGACGAGGATGAGGATGAGGAATGGGAATGATGAGAAGGGGAGAAGTGGAGGGTGGGTAACCAACGCATGGCGATGGATGTAAATGTAATGTAATGTACAATGCTGCTTCATTCTGCGTCCACCATGGCCATTACAAAACAAATGGAAATGGAATTCTCTTCTCTTCTCTTCTCTTTTGTTTTATTTCAACAAGAAAGACGCTTTTAGCCTTTTACATTACAACGGATGGTGCTTGGGGTTCCAACCTTTTCTCGAAATAAAACTCATTGTCCAGTGGTCATGACAAGATTAACACGCATAATACTTTCATTTCCGGTAATATGTCACCAATATAATACGTTTTCCAACGTTTTCTTTTCTTTTTTTTTTTGTGGAAATTTGCAAAATATTTTTTTTAATAAAATATTGTGTATTTTCACACCCTTTTATTTTTAAATTTTTCTATATGAAATGAACAGAATTCTTTTTTTATTTTTTGTCACATCTTTTTATTAACAAAATTTTTCTCCATCAAAGGAGCGGGATTTTTTATTCTCCTGTTTCTTTGCTATCTCGTGGGTTCTTCTAAACATGTTTAGAACCCTTCTACTTACGTCAATCAAAAGGCAAAGGCTCCAGACCCTACCCGGGCCTTGAACCATCACCATTTTCTCAGCCCATTCTTTCTGGGCTTTTGAAATTCGGCCCGACTTGTGCCTTTTATTGACAAAAAAGTATAAAATAAAGTAGGTTTTGAAACTTATATTTATCATACTGCTATCATTTATGTGAAAAAAGTTGGATCCTCACTAATGCTGATGCATATTATTATTTGGTACCACCCGCCTTACCCGCTAACGTGTCATACGAAAACCCCAAAACATTTTGCTTCAAGGGTAATAATGAAGAATTTTTATTCATTACACATATCAAAATAAATAAATAAATTATTATTATTATTTTATGAAGTTAAGCTAGATTAATTTTGTTTGTTAGAATAAAAATGATACAGTACAAAAATCACTTTTTACATGATATTATTAAAAGTATAAAATGGAAAAGGAGATAATTAATATTACATTGAAGTTAATATGATACTTATTTTGTAACTTATTTTTTCCTTTTAATTGATACTTATTATGAAACAATAAGAGTAATAGAGAATCGAGGAAATACACTATAAAATATATTTGATAGAGAAAAAGAAAATGAGAAAAATAGAGTGAAAGAGAAAATCAAACAAGTGAATAAAAGAGAAATAAAGTGAAATTTATTTAATATAAAAATTAAATAAATATTTTTATTATAATAATTAAAAATAAATAAATAAATATCATATATATATATAATTAACTAGTTTTGAGAGGAATTTTTTATAAAAATTAAGTACACTTATATTATATTTATATATATAATGTTTGGTAAGTAAAATTGAGTCAAATTAGATAATTTTAAATTTCAACTAATGGATAGTGATGTTTGGTCTTAGAATTTCTAACATATTATTAACTTTCTACCCACTAGTCATAGAAGTATCATCCTTCATATGTCATTTGATTACTAAAAAAATTCTACTAAACAATCTATCAAATAATTTTTATTTATTTATTTATTCTCAACTTCTATCTTATCAAGAAAGATAAAGAGTTAAAAAATTAGAAATAATAGTTTTGATTTAAAAAAAAAACTACGTAATTTGTCTAATTTTTTATGATAAAATACAATAATAATATGAACAAAATTTAAGTACAAAATTCTTGATTTTATTTTTTAATCAAAATGGAAGTTCTATTTTAATAATATTTATAATATATTATGAATATCTACATTAAATATGGATGGTTATTATTTAAATGAAGCTCCAATTCTAATCCCACTTTATTTCTAATTAATATTACACCTTAGTTTTGTCCTAATAACAATTTACACCCAAGGCTTTATGTTTAGCCATCTTATTCATGTGTGTGCATTAATTTGTACTTTTGAAGGTGGAATCATTTTGACAATGACTGTGAAAGCTCACCCTCTTAAAACCCGATTGCTCTTTTTACTCTAATAAGTTAACAATCGCTTTTCTGTTTTTTAAGTTGCAGTCGCTTTTCAACCCAAATACCTTTCGGGGCCATCCATTTTTTAGCTACCACCCTTTTCCACGCTACGTGCTGTGTATTTGTTGGAAAGTTTTTCGTGTTTTTCAATTAGAGAAACATTTTTTCAACTAAATTATTTTTTTATATTTTATTTTTAAAGAGGACTTTTTAAAAAATTATGTATATACAGAATGAATAAAAAGTATAAAATAAAACAATTATACACCCTATCAATTACTTAATATGTATATAATGAAATTATTTTAACAAACACACCTTGATGAATAAATTAGCACTGACGTGAAATTCTTGCATCTGAGTTTTAAAATTTATAAATATTGGACATATTTTCGAGACGTTAAAAATAATTGGTTTTGTTTCTATTTTTTTTTTATTTACGTTATTAGCTAAATGTATTACGTAAATAGTTAAATAAATCAATGGACAGTAAACTATATATAATGATTCATAAATTAGCCGATTGTATTAATGTTTGAAAGAATTTATTTGTAAGTTATTTGAGTTTATCTTTTGACAAGAAGGTTTGTATAAGTGTTTTGAAGATTTTAAGAAGATAGCTTATGTTTTCATAAACTATTTTTAACTAATATCAGTAAGTTTTGGAATGTACTTAATTTATGACAACAATTTAATCTTATTTTTTTAATTACAAAAACATAATAAAATACTTTCTCAATTACAATGCTTAAACTACAATTTTTTGATTTTTTTAAATAATATTATTTGGCATAAAATATTAATCAATTTTATCAATCATTAATCTCTGTTAAGAAATTAATTGCAAGTTTGTACTCTATCTAGTCCTGATTATAAGGCATATATAATTTAGAAGAAGTTGATAGTTCAATTTATTAAAAGCTTTACAATTTATGCAAAACATTAATTTTAGTTTTCATTTTATACTCATATTTAAGGTTGTGAGAATATATGTTTCTCTTTCACCTCTTAAACACTCTTCCATTATTATTTATCATTTTTATTGATACTAATAATTTGTACATCTCTCATGAAAATTTTATGATGGTAAAATTAGTAAGTTACAATTGTATTCTATAAATTTAATAAAATTAACTAACATAACTACTTATATTTGTTTGTATTGTTTGATTAAAAATATTTCATAATATAGAATACAAAGAATAATTGATTATCTTTTCTAACCACAAAACTCAAATTTGAAATCGATTTTTTAAGGATTCAATTTTTTTATTTTAAAAGAACTGAAATAAAATAAAAATATATTACTTTCAATGCGAAATCTTACTGGCTTTCCAAAATGCTAGCAATAATTAATTGCATAAAATAACGAGTTCTCCGATATGATTCAACTGTTGCCAAAAACTTGTTCCCTTTGTAGTAGAATTAAACATAAAGGCTCAAAATCAACGATCCTTCGGGGTGCTCATAAAAGAATTGTCGCTTCTTGGAGGTACAACTTTTAGATGATTGCAAGCAACCTCAAGAAAGGAGAGTAATTCTGCCAAACATTTTAGCTTTGTGGGACAAAAATTGCTCGCCATTGCCAACATGTTATTCAACTTTAAACGTCTTGCTGGCATTGGTTGTTCTCTCTTTCCAATAAGTGGCGTGTACTATTAGTGAAGTTCTTTCCCAAATTCATCGTACTCTAATCACATGTTTCAAAAATATGCTTTTATAAAGTATAACACTACAGAAATTCATTATAGTGAGCTATTCACGGTGACCTTTTGAAATTTTTAGTAATGCAAAATCATCACAATTCTGTTAGTAATGTGTGATAAATTTACCGACAGTTTAACATTCAATATCATTATAAGAAACCCGACTTAATAATAAAAAGTGTAGTAGTATAAACAAATATTTTTAATTTAAATATTATTGCCTTCACTAAAAATTTTGATAAAAAAAACTTCAATAATATTGCAAGCTTACTTTTATAATCTGAACAAACTCCCAACCCCTCTCTCGTTCCCTTGTAATTCAATGATTATATAATGTTTTGACCGTAAATTTGTTAGTATCGTTAGAGTTATCGCGTTCAAAATATTGTCTACTTTGATGTTTATTAAATTATTGTGATTTTATGCTTGAAAAGACATCTCAATAAGTTAAGAACAAAAGATATTTATAAATTATCTTGGACCTCAACTTCTAAATAATGTCAGACTTTTAAATATATTAAAAGAGGTTATAAGTTGAGGTTAAGGGACAAGAGTAACCTAGACTCTCCTTTTAGTATCAATATTTTAACTGTAATTTTACTAGTGTTGTTAGGATCACTGTGTTCAAAAAATTATCGATTTTAATACTTATTAGGTCATCAAGAGTTTGTTCTTAAAAATGAATTTTCGGTACATTAAAGAAATTATCCTTAATCTTGACTATATAGTAAAGTGAACTTTTACATATCAAAATAATGTTTGTATCTTTTCCTATAATTATTATCTCCAATGAAGAAAGTGGTTAAAGAAAACATTAAATTGATTACAAACTTTAGAATTAAGATGCTCATAGTGTTAATTATCAAGAAAAAAAATAACTCACAACTCTGGAAACAAATCATAACTATTTCTTGATTTTTAAATTGATAAATCATTTAAAATAAGAGGTCACTAACGTCATGGTGCAATTAAATTAAATTGATCTTAAAGTAGATAAAGTGTGTGTTTGGTGTGAGATTAGATTTTATAAAATCAAGTTAAAATATCTGTTAACCTGATTTTAATTAAGTTTTTATATATTTGATTGGACTACTAGTCTAAAATTGATTTTAAATTAAAATAATTTTTACATTGAGTCAAAAGATTATACTTAATTTTATTACTGACTTGTTTTGTAATAAAAAAACATACAAACATAAATTATACTGCATCAAAATGAATTTCACCAAAATTAACTTCACAGAATCAATGTTATGACCTTGAAAGACAATGTTAAGCTTTCCTTTCCAGATAGAAAACTAAGAAAAGTAAAGAGTGTGAATGAGTGGGTGAGAG